CGCGAGACAAGGTCCTCGTCGTGAGCATGTGCATCGGTACCGGCATGGGCATGGCCGGCATGTTCGTCAACGAGGTCTTGTAAAGAAAAGTGTAGGAAGCAGCCAAAAGGAATGTGAAATAAAAAATAGCCTTGTTCTTTTCCAATTATGCATTTTTTTGAGTGAAATCATGATGTACCTACTCCAAGCCATTTCTCTTTTTTTTTGCTCCACAGCCTCGCCAACGGGAAACATCCAGCTCGCTCAGTGCCCCCGGCCTCAACGTTCCGACAAGACTCGTCATGCCAAAATCATGGAACATTGTGTACATACAAATCATCCCCGTGCCCCATCTAGTGCTGTTTCTTTAGTCAAACCACCAACAAACATGCATGCTATGCCCCAAAAACGAAAGAAACGCCGATCGATGCTTTTCGACCACACAATGACTGCGCTCCCCTTCGCCCCTTCACGCGCACGTCAACACCCACTAAGCGTTGGTCGCGCTCTCCTCAAACTCGGTCATCTTGAGCGCCTCCTGCACGTCGGCCACAAACTGGCCCTCGCCGCCAACGAGCTCAACAATGCCCGACTGCCGCATGAGCCGCCAGATGTGGTGCTTCTTGTTGCCGGGGCCGCGGCTGAAGAAGACGCGGACGTTCCTCTCGCGGGAGCTCTCGACAATCTCCTTGAGGACCTGGGTGCCGGAGCCATCCATTGAGGTGACGCCGTGGATATCAAAGATGATGTTACGGTTGTTCTCCTCGTGGCGGAGGCGTGGCAGCGCCGGGTGTCCCATGTTGGTGCCGTAGAGCTCGAGCCTGCGCAGCCGGTTCTTGAGCTGGCCCCGTGTTGGCAAAGGGTCATGGGCTCGGCAATCTTGACGATGAGGCAGCCTTCGAAGAACTCGAGTCGCTCGGGGTCGGCCTCTGCGTTTTCGAAGCGGTGCGTGCCTGGGATGCGGCCGAGAATCTGGATACGAGGGCGCGTCGAGTGTCGAATGACTTGAAGCACCGAGAGGCCGACGCCTATGGCCATGCCGACCGTGAGGGAGTAGAAGATGGTGGCCAGGAATATGATGGCCATGAGGCCAAGCTCGCTCCAGCCCCGGATGCCGAGGAAGAACGCGATATCATGGGGAGCCTCTTCAAGAAGCGACCATGCGACGACAGTGATCATGGCCGAGAGGACAGGTTTCTGTGGGGGTCAGCGCACGGTACACATGGCGGCAAACAAGAGACAACTCACCGGTAGGTAGTACAGATAGGGGAGCAGGAAGAAAATGGCAAACAGGGCAATGCCGCTGAGGAAAGACGGAACTCATGGGGCTCTTGCCGCCGGTCGAACCATTCAGCTTTGCTTCGCGCGTAGCCGCCAAACGCAGGCAGACTCATAAAGCAGGCGCCCATGACGTTGGCCGCTCCGAGGGCGACAAGTTCGCGGTTGGGGCTGAGCTGCATGCCCTGGATGCTGTCTGAACCACCAAGACTCTTTGCGGCAACCGAGGACTCGAAGAAGCCGAGAAGCGCGATGAGGAACGAGGTGCTCATGCCTTCGCGGATGTGCTTCATGTGGGAGAGCTGGAACGGCCAGCGAAAGGTGAAGAGGTGACCGGACGCCGCCTCAACGGTGCCGAGGACTTCGACACCCTTGCCCTCCCAGCCGAGCTGCCATGAGAGGATGATGGAGACGACGACGACGAAGAACCGGTCTGGGAGGTAGGCGACACCGGGGTAGCGGGGCTGGAGCCGCTTCTTCATCTCGCGCAGGACCATCATGATGGTGAAACTGACAGCAGCCACCAAGAAGGTCAACTTGTGCGTGCGGCCGAGGTTCTTAATCATGAAGTCAATCTTGTCGACGCTGCTGCCGTGGCCAACACCCTGCTCATCCGCATAGCGACTGAGACCGAGCTCGGGGATGAGTTGGTCCACAAAGATGACGAAACCAATGGCCGAGATGAAGCCGCGCAGGAATGGCCGGCTGAGCACGCTGTCAAGGAATCCCAGACGAGCGATACCGGCGAGCAGAATGGTGGCCCCCGCCATGCCAGCAACGATGCCGCAAATCTGCGCCTGCAGCACGTCGTCGTCGTCATCCTCGCCTGTGCCCAGACTACTCTTGACGACTGTACCAACGAGGAGCGAGCCGGCGGCTTCTGGACCGACAATCATCTGCGGACAGCTGCCGAGCATGGCGTAGATCAGGGGGTTGATGACGTAGGCGTAGAGGCCGTTGATGGGCGGGACGTGGGCGAGGTTCTCGGCGAGCGACAGGACCATGGGCAGGTAGACAGAGGCGACGGTCAGGGAGGCGACGAAATCGCCCTTGAGGTAGGACCACTTGTACTGGGGCATCCACTGTAGGAAGGGAAAGTAATAGGACAAGTACATGCGCGTGTTGGCCTTGAAGCCGGCCTCGGCAGCGAGGCGGTCCGAGTTTGTGATGCTCCTTGACATGACAGACTTGTGCCAGCTCTTCCTCCAGTCTTCGCTGCCCGTGATCGAGTTGATCACCTTGTCAAGGCCGCCGCGTTGGGAGGCGTTGGAGGCCGTGTCGTTCTCGTAGCTGTTGAAACTCGTCACAGGGCTCGAGGGCCTGGGGGAGAAGGTGCCATGGCCGCCATGGCCCTCGTTGATGTTGTCGCGTAGGACCGAGTGGAGGAGGCCTGTCGACTCGGTGTGCTGAGGAGGAGGCGGTCGAGAAGGAGCGCTTGGTCCGGGCTGAGGCGCTTCGGTTGAAGGCGAGGCAGGCGCGTCGCCATCGTCATTGCTGGAGGCCCCCGCTGCCCGGTCGTCTTCGTGAATGGAGGAGTTTCTGGAGGCAGCGTTGTACGTGTTTCGCAAGCCGCTAGGGTTGGCGGGTCGATGGGCCGCCATAGTCGGTAGGACGGCGACGGGGAGAGCGCGAGGCGCGAGGCCTGGATGGGGGCTGCTTTGTCGGGAGTCAGGTCGCGGCAAGATGCATCAACTGTTGTGACAGGCCGGATAGGTCAAGTGTGCTGGCGAAAGCCTTGCTGCTACAGTAAGGTATACGATGCTAAGCGATGCGATGCTCTCGAAGGGCGTGGGGGCTAGCTTGTTGGTTGAGAAATGGCAGGCTGAAGCTGGACAATGGGCAGTCGGTTGTACACTGCCTTGCTGATGCTTGTCCTGATGATGTTCCGTCAACCCGTGCGCTCCAAATGGGGAGTGAGAATTGGCCGGTGGACGAAAGGAGAGGTAAAATTCTGGTGAGCACGCAGAGATTGGGGCCAAAGACCAGAGAGGTCACTTGCATTCCGTGTGTCAGGCACAAGAGGAGGCAGAAGGACAGACGAGGCAAGCTTGATTTTGCTGGTGGGAGGCTGACATCACGGTCAGTGCTCGGCATTGGTCAGAGCGACTGTTTTGGGGGGCTTCGATTGGGTGCCGGGTGCCGAGCAGGACCCCAGTTGGGCCATTTGGGCCATTTGGGCCATTTGGGGGGGTCCTTACGTGATCTTTAGCTCTTCGTCGTGGCCTTTCTCTTCTGACTCTTGACTTTCTGTTGAGGCGCATTACTGACAAGAATGGCATCACGTAATGCCTCGCTCTTTCTGTCCTTGAGATGCCTGTCTTGAAGACTCTATTAGGTCACCCCCATTTACATTTTCCTTCGTGTGGCGACTGATCTCCCTGCCTTGTCTTCAATTTGGGTGGCATACTTCCCTACCGAGGTTACCTAGGGTAAAGGCACCAAGGGTACCTAGATAGGTCGGTAGGTAGGTAGGTTGCATGTTTCCTCCATTGACTTCTTTCACTAGACCATGTATCGTGATCCATGGCCCTGTTCTTTCACAAGTCACGCCTCGTCGCTCATCCCCCACCACCCATCACCCAACCCATGACACCAACATCACAAATCGCCCACCTCCGCCCTCACCACTGTCGCGCATCCGACTGCGCCGGCCCACCATCGGCGACCCGTGTGGGGGGGCGGACCGGGCCCTCGACCCTGGAGCCCCTTCGGCCTGACCCTCGCCTTGGCCCCACGATGCGACCATGTGTCGCCGCGTCGGCTTCCATAGGTCGCGTAGGTCGCATCCCTCCATCACCGTCGGGAGCTGCATGGTCCTCCGCATGACTGGTGCACTTCAAGCCCATCATGGCCACTTCGGCTGCCGATTCTCTTGGCTCATAGGCCAATCCTCACCAGAGTCGGCCCCCCCTGTCGCATTGTTGTGATTGGTGCCCTGACCATTGTCAAAGACATCACATAGGGCCGGCGCTTCTGGCCGCCAATCCTCTCCCTCGGGTCCAAGGTGCCTCATCACTATCACGAAACTATCGCTCCGTGACGTCAGGCTCGGAAGCCCCATCTTACCCTCTCCTTCGCTGCGTGATCTCGAACGATCGACCGGTTGGCCTTTTCGGCCCCCCCCCCGGCCCCTGCTGACAGAACAGCCCATCCATGCAGACCTGCGGGCACTCGTCACCGTGCGGCGTGCACCACGTCCCAATATGAAGCCCGCAGACCAACAGCATGACCGATCTGCAGGCCATCTCCAATCGAGCAAAGAAAAAACTGCCACGATGCCTTCCCCTCTCCCCTCTGTCTCTCTTTCAACCCCGGATGAATGACTGGGGTGTACCCCGCCGCGGCCAGGTCGTGATGTGGGCGAATCATGCCTAGGCCTAACTTCGGAGGGGGAGAGAGAAAAGGGGCTGCTTGTGATTCACGAGATGCGGCCTATATGCAAGACGCTATCCTGCTGTTGCTGCTTCTGCTGCTGCTTCTTTACCCGGTCCTCCTGCCTTGAGCTTCGATTGATTTCGAGCCTGCCTTTGCCCTCCTTCATTGTTGTCTATAAAATACCTAGGACCTGCCTCGCTCTTTCCCTTCTTTGCTGCCCAAACCTCAACCAAGTCAATCTCTGTCACCCAAATCTCCAGCACCTCCGACCTTCTTCGACCAATAAACCCATCAAACAAACCCATAGACCAAGTTGACAGGTAGTCACCCCTTCATCAAGGAACCCGAAGTCGACATGATGTAACAAACCCAGCAGACCTGAACCGCACCATGCGCTCCCCCGTCCACCTCCTCCTCGGCATCGTCTCTGCCCTCGCCCTCCTCGCCTCAGCCTCCCCCATCAACACTTCACTCAACCCCAGCTCCCTCGCCCGTCGCGCCCTTGACTACCAGCATCCGGTTTACACAGCCGGCGGCCGCTTCGAGTACTGCAGCGAGGTAGCCGTCACTCCAACCCCAGACACCTCGTCCGCCGCCCCCCTCGCCGCCGATTGCAACCTCATCGCCGACGACGTCGGTGCGCGCCAAGGAGCCTACACGTTTGCGGCCGCCGACTTCAAGCACGACGGCTGGGCCTGGGTCGCCGTCAAGGGTACCTGCACGTTTGCCGTCCGCTTCGACACGGCGGCGGCGCGGACAAAGCTGCTCGTCGGCACCAATGACGTGAGGTTCTACATCAGTTCGTCGTCGCGGCTGGCGAAGAACAGCAGGCTTGGTGTCAGGGCGGGTGTTACCTGCTTCAACGGCGACGGACAGAAGGGTATCACCTGGGGCTTGATCAGGACGCCTAAAACCGTTTAGGGGTTGTGTGCGAGGGGACTGACCTTTTTATTATTTCCTTTGAGAGGGCAGGCATCACGGCTATGGCTGCCATACAGGTGCTCTCATACAACAAGAGTATAAGTAATTTGAGGCGACAACAAAGTCAAGCAGACACAGAAGGGACTTGGTGGCCGAGAGGAATATATGCTGGCTGGGCCAGAGAAATTGAGAAGGCCGTTAATATTGGCCTGTAGAGCTTAGGAAAATAATCATGTCATGGGTCATCGTGGCCTTCATTTTGTCTCCAGCAATATTGGGTGCACCCCCTCATACTATGTAGCCTGAATCCCTGGCCCCCACCCCTGCTGCTTATGCCTGGCACGCGCGTTCGTAATGCTGACAGCCACGATTTGTTTGACTGCAGACTTTCCCCGCCTCCAGCCGTCAACGTTGTGCCTCCTCCATCTCGCCTTTCACTCTAGACTATTATCGTCGCATCACCGTATTGCCGCACCGCATCGATCTATCTGTATTCCTCGGGGCACTCGACGCCACCCATGCGCTTTGACATGCGATCGATTCACTTGCCAGAATGGTGTTTCCGGGTCACTTCAGCACGGGTTGTGGGCGATGTCGCCAGCGAAAAATAAAGGTGGGGTGAGTCGTCGACGGAGATACCGTCAACGGTCGTCTCTTTGGATGTCCATGCTCTCGTGAAAGCTTTCAGAATCGGGAGCTGACTACCTAATTTCGAAGTGTGATGGGAAAAAGCCGACGTGTCAACGATGCATGGTGTATGGCAAAGCTTGCCCAGGCTACACCGACACCTTTCACTTTCGAGTTGGTCTGACGAAGACCGACTTTGAGGTAACGCCCTCCAAAGCAATCACCTCATCAGTATCCGGGAGGAATGGACGGAGAGTGGTTCCCAAAACTCTGACTCGACAAAGCTCAGAAAGAAACGAGAAGCTAGCTTTGCTTTCTCAAAGTCGCAGTGAGGTCATCCATCGCTCACCAGAACTGCCAGACGACGAAATATCACTTTGCTACTTTGTCAAACGCTTCGTATCACCTGACGACACAGACGGAGTCTCAGGCCACCTCAGTTTCCTCCCTGCCCTCTACGATCATTTAAATCGTGGTATTCTTGAGACGGCCACCATGAGTGTTGCTCATTACGCAGCTTTTAACCGCCATGGAAGCGTGAGGTTCCGACTGCAGTCGTACAGATATTACAGCCGCACCATTAAGATGTTGCAGGAAGCAATGCAGGTAGAAGGCTCTGCGACTGACGACAAGATCGTTACAACCATCTTACTCATGTGCATGCTCAAGGTGAGTGGAGGTCGTGCCAAAAGTGCAGATGGACATTCTCACCCCTACTAAGGACATTGCTGACATGTGATAGGACATCAGCGGCGAGGGATCTGGCGACTCCCAGGAACATGCACCAGGGCTCTTCTACCTCTTGGAACAAAGGGGGCCGGGCCAGATCATCTCCAAAATAGGTGCTCAGTTGTTCCTCCTGGCTCATCTGAGATTGGTACGTAGTCATTTCTCACAGCTCAACGAGTCAGCCGTCATCATCGGGGCTAATGTGCATTTATTTGTAGCAAACCTACTCATTTCTGAACGAAGACGACAGATACTGCGACCCTGGAGCAATAGCATCATTGCTAGGCATGTTTGATCCCCTCATCCGGGCAATGTCTATGATGTCCAGAGTGCTGTCGCTCAGAAACACTCTGACGCGCTATTTGTCCCTCAATCACGGACAGAGACCAAGTCAGAGTGTTACTCCAGGCTCCCTTGAGGATCAAACCCCAAACAAGATCATATCGACCATACGAAAGTGTTTCGAGGCACTTGAGGATTTCGCCTGTTGGGATGCCGAAGCCGGCGCATACTGGGAACAAAGCTTTGTCGGACGTACCGTTCCAACTATGCTAGGCCAAGTTGCATTGGGGATGACATCCTATGATGCTGATACGGCTTGTATCATCATCTTGATCCGATCTCCGCGCCTGATACTTCTGCTGACTATGCTTCTGTATTACGGTAAAACGCAAACCGGCCCTGTTGAATTCCGTAGTACGCAAGAAGATAGCGCTGCATGGGAAGCATGCGTCTCATTCTTGGAGGATGATGTTCGGAAGACCATCGACGATATCCTCTACAGCGTACCGTATGCACTAGGGGATCTTTCTTCAAATGGACGGCCGGCTTCAATGCCACATGATGGAGCTAGTGCCCTCATTATTGTTCAATCCATAAGACTCGTCGCCTACTGCGCGTACAGCTCGCCAGATCAACTTCAGAAAGCTCAGAGCATACTCAACAGGATTAATACGACAATCGGGATCAGATCAGCCCTAGGATGGGAGGAAGGTGGCACAGCCAAGATATCCAATTGGATCGCCGAGCAAGAATTCCTGCGTTCCATGATTTCTGCTCGTTCAGAGGATCTGCTATTGGTTAGCGACATGCGAATTGCTCCAACATACTGTGATCTCGGTCAAGCTGATGTGGATTGGGACTTGGGAGAGACAGTCTGAATTCTTTGTATTAGAGTCGACCGTCCATCGCTGCCCCGTCATCCATTGTTACGAGTTGATGACGTGCTGAGGTTTTAGGTTGCACAAGAAATCGCCAGCCGCCGTTCAAGCTGGTTAATGCTTTCGTCCTACACCACCTTTGTTGCCCTACAATCAATCTTTCCACCAGCATCGATGACCCCCGCTCGATGATAATGCGTCCTCGACCTCAGGTATGGGTCCAACTTCCAATAGTTCGCCTCCATCTTCCTGGCGATTTCGACTCTCCGCCCATCAATTCTCTTTGCCTCATCTGAACCCGCCCCATGACGACCCCACTCGACCGTCGTTTTCTCGAATTGAGAAATGAGATCATCGTGCTCGGCTTGAATTTTGGATCGCTTCTCGTCGTCGTCCAATCGCTCGTTTTCTCCAACGACAGGTTCGATGTATTTGTACTCCCACGTGTCATTCCCGCCGTACGACTTTTGCAAATTCTCTGGAGATATGTACTTTGACAGGCCCGTCTTACCACTGGTGAAGGTAATCTTCGACGCAACAACGGGGTCAAGCCAGTGCTTGATGACACTCCAGATCCCTATTATCAAATTTAGTGGGCGTCCGTGGATATGAAACATCGCATCGCTTACCCCAGAAGACGAACGGCGCATTGTGCACCAGAACCAGTCCGAGAGACTCGGGGTACCTAGCCTCGAAGACCTGGACGAGGAACTGCACCACATGGAAGTCCATGTTACGAAGGCCAAAGCCGCTCAAGTCAAAGACGAGACACGTCTTGTCGTTCGGAGCCTTGACCATCAGACTGATGGTCTCCACGTTGTGAAGGACAAACGCCTCCATCGCTGCTGCGGACTGAAGGCTGGGATTGTGCAGCCGAGCCTTGACGATGTACACGGGACGACCTTCCATATCTGAGCCTCTCACGTAGCTCTTTCCCGACCGGTACTGCGCGAGGAAATTCTTCTGATCCTCAGAGGGCGATGTGATGAACGCGACGGATTCGCCTTTCCTAACGATATCTTCATCCATTCGTCGCTCGTGACGCCAGTCGATTGTCGACATGAGCATTTCCATGGCCTTCTCGACGTCCCACTTTCGCGCACGGAGAAATCGCAGGATAATGGCGTCTGGGTGATGTTGGCGCACGGAGCCCCAGAGGCGTTCACGGAAGACGTCTGGTGGTGTACCCTTGGACTGGTGGTCCTTGCTGACGTCTGACGGCGGGTCATCGTGAGACGAGTTCACTCGGCTGAGCTTGAGTAAAAGTTTCCAAGCTTCTTGCAGTTTACTCTCCTCGTCAGCGGTCAAGTGGCCGAGGGTTCCGGGCTCGACGGTCTGCGTCATCGTGGCTGTTCAAAATCGAAGATGAAATGGATTTGTGGGAAAGTCTAGGCGCCTGCGGTAGGGCGATATACTTTCCAAGAAGGGAGCGAAGAATAGTCAGGTTTGTATACGGAAGAAGGCATCGTCATTGCTTGTGAAACATGAGGCCGACTTTATGGGTACTATTTAGCCGTCGCTTCGTTAGTTTCGTGTCTGGGCGCCCTGAGTCGCAAGCGCGGAGTAGGCTTGGCTCGGAAAGTGGTTACTCATTGGGAAGAGAACCCCAATACGACGGGTCAGGTGAGGCGAGGAGGTGCTGAGCCCCAGCAACGCGGTACAGATGGATCGGTCGAATCCAAGGATGGCAATCCATACATGTGCATGTGCGTACATGTGATTCATCTTGGCCGACAGATTCCTCTAGCGGAGGATTGCTGACGTTGGTGAGTTCCAGCGGCCGGCGGCCCAGCCAGTCGATGGCAGAAGGGGGGGCATCCCAGTGCGAGGTTGTAGTTAGCTCGCAAGCTAAACCTAACGGAGATGGACTTTGCGACCTGCATATCGTGATGGCTTCGAGTCAGGCATTGTCAGGTCTGGACATGAGCACCTCACAGGAAATATTGAGGTAGCAACAATGGAACTTTTGCAATTTGGCTTGCAGCTAATTGTTTTCACTGACATGTTGTAAGCGCACATGGAACCGCGTGAGGCAGGTTTTCAAGGAAGGCCCCTGGCCGCATCCTGGCCAAGCGGATGTTTTTGATGTTGAATGTGTGATTTCTTTAATGTACTTGATGGGACCCCTAGCGCTTCTCGCATAAAGCTAAAGCATCTTGGCTGACCAGATACATCAAGAAAAGAATGCACATAAGTATCCAGGGGAGTAACGACTTTCAGACTGCTTGTGAGGCGGCATTAATGTGATGAATCACTTTCACACCTCAGGTGGCGGAACATTCAGACCCAAAACTCAACACGAACTTTGCCATTCACTTTTACTAGGTACTTGTCAATCACCATGAGTATCGTGTCCACTTTGTTCAGCTTCCCTTTCCTTACGCTGTTGGCAGCAACGGAGACAATTCTCGGTGTCAAGGTGCTACAGTGCCCCAACAATCTACAGAGTCGTTTAATCTTTACGACTGTTGTCGTTCTCATAAATTATGGGTTTGGACTCCTATTCTGGTTGTTCCTACACCCGCGTTTTCTAAGCCCCCTGCGGCACATTCCAGGTCCCAGGGTCAGTCATCATCTTGCTCGCAACAGCCACGAACTCTTGCTCACTGATATTGGGAAAGGCGTTCTTCAGCGATACCCTTCGAGCCATAATTGTCAAAGATGAACCTTCGGGAAACCGCTTCCTCCGACTGGCGAAGAAGTATTCAGCACAAGACATGATAGTGCTCAATGTCGCTGCAACCGAGATATTCGTCACCAACCCTCGGCTTCTGGCCGACGTGCTGGTCAACAACTGTTACGATTTCGCCAAGCCAACCAAGGTCAGCTCATTCCTGCGGCACATCCTTGGCGACGGCCTCATCATCGTGGAAGGAGATGAACATAAGTTTCTCCGCAAAAACACCATGCCTGCTTTCCAATTCCGGCATATCAAGAATTTGTATCCAATGATGTGGACTAAAGCTGAGGCTCTGGTGAACGCCCTCACCCAGGAAATTGCTCCAGATCCCATCGACGAAGGGCAAGACTCTGCGGTTGTGGATCTGACATTCTGGGCCAGCAAAATCACGCTTGATATCATCGGTGTTGCCGGGTTGGGTCACGACATGAATACTATCGAGAAGTCCGGCGATCCGCTTCATGAAATATACACGAAACTCCTCGATCCAACTCCCGAGAAATTGGTCTACTCAATGCTTGGCTTGATGTTTGGCATGAGATTTGTGAGTCTGTTGCCTTGGAAGCTGAATGTCATGTTTATGCAGGCGGCGAACGCATTGCATTCAGTTTGCGGGCAGATGATTGAAGATAAGAGAATCGCAATCCAGGAGAAACGTGACGACCACTTTGACATTTTGTCACTATTGATCAAGTCTGACAACTTTTCGGATACGACATTGAAGGACCAGCTACTGACATTCTTGGCTGCAGGGTTCGTATGTGTCTAGTAGCTGCTGGTACATAGGCTAATAAGGCAAGCAGACACGAGACTACCGCATCGGCCTTGACATGGGCCTGTTACCTGCTAGCGAAGCAGCCGGAAATTCAGAGGAAAGTCAGAGAAGAAGTCCTCGAGAGTATCACACCGGGCGTCACCGGCGGGCTCATATCTGACCTTGCTGGTAATTTGGAGCAGTTGCCTTATCTCAATGGCACCATCAACGAAACACTGCGCCTATACCCTACAGTGCCCATGATACAGCGACAAGCGATCAGAGACACACAGATCGGAAAGCAATTCATCCCAAAGGGTACAACCATAGCCATTTCCATCTGGTACGTTAACCGCTGTCCTGATTTCTGGGGCCCGGACGCGTGCGAGTTCCGACCGGAGAGATGGGTCACGAACGACCTGAAGCCGAACAAGAACGGGGGAGCGAGCAGCAACTACGATTTTTTGACATTTTCGCGCGGACCGCGCAACTGCATCGGCCAGGGATTTGCAAAAGCGGAGATGCGATGTCTTTTGGCGGCCATGGCTATGTCTTTCACATGGGATTTGGCCATGGACGATAAAAAGGTAGTGCCAAGGGGCGTCATCACCATCAAGCCGGAGAACGGGATGTACTTGAGGCTGACGCCCCTGCGAAAGAATACTTCTTAGGGGATTCGCTAACATTGGAATCACGGCGTGATTTCCTGGAGAGAGCCGACGTGGTTATTGGAAACAAATCTGCACTTGGATGGTTGAAGTTGATGACGGAGGGATTAGAAATCGCGCCATCAAAGCATTCTCCATGTCGAGCTGTCGCGAGCTCACGCTGTCGGGAACTCACAATCATGTCAATGCTGAAGACGTATTTTTGCGGTCCAATGCTTATTGTGATCTCATCAACCACAAACGAATCTTTCTTTTTAGTTCAGTCTAGACTGATTCTTCGGGGTTCAGGATAAAGATCGCCCATGCTCATCCACGTTGCCATTCATTGCAGCAGCCACTTCGGTCAGACTTAGCACCAAGTTTAGGAGTATCGTATGTTGGTTTGCATGTGTTACAGCAAGAGGCCGGTTTCTGTCTGTCGGGGCGGTCAAGTGGCTTTCTAGGGCCATTTGAAAAGTAAATAACGGGGGATCTCAGGCTGGCCTGGAAACAGACATTCTACATCTAGGAGGGCCATGAGCAGCCCTTATTTATACGCTTCCGCTTCCATAACCTCCCAAAGACCGTGAATGATCCTCAGGTCTCCTCTATTACGAGTCTGTGCAGATGACCGAGTACAGCGAGCGTCAAAAGCGTCATATGCCATGTATCTACTATCACCAAATCGTTCTTGTTGCCACTTGCTATGTACATTAGCATTGGTAGAAGCCATCGAAACAGATTGGTGCCAGTACTGCGCGCTCAAAAGGTAAACAGAGAGCCAAGCCACTGGCGTGCAAAGAGCTGCAGGCGCGCCATATATGCTCGGCATTTAGCTGTCTAGTCACTCCATACGATGTCGGTATCATGGGAGACCTCGTATCTCGGCTGACCATTGTTAACGTACATATTGGTCGCTGGTGAGCTTTGATCTTTCTCTTGTAGTACAAGAGTAGGGACTCAAAACTGCCGCCTGAAAGACGTACGTCGTTCTTGAGAGTGGTAAAATTCTCCCCGGTCTGCCAATTCTTTTGCGCCGAGCATGAGTCTTCTATTCTAACCACATTCCCAATATGTGACAAGTCCGCAACCTTAAGGCATCCTGCCCTGTGGAACAAATATGGTGACCTGCCGATACCCAATCTTGAGGCACCTCAAAACCCCGAGCATCCTGTGAAACTCCCAAAATAGGCACTCCAAAAAGACCGAACGACGCATGCTTCTCCTATTTTTCACACGGTCGAGCCAATGGTACCGGCCTCACGCTGAGCCCACCGACTGACCCTCGAGTTCTTCCACTTTCGGCTCCTCATGTATGCAATCTGCTTTTAGATCCCTCTTGCTTTGGAAGAACCCAGTCCATCCATGTAACAAGCTTGTTCGTCTCCTCTCAGCGCTGTCACTCGACCTGGAACTCAAAATACTGCTTCTCCTCCGCCAAGTTCCATCCTCGTTGCATTGGTCCGGTAACCTCGCGTTGGAGTAGCTCCCTGGAGATGTCGAGGTCAGCTTGTGTGTCAGAGTGGACGAAGCGGGTGCCTCAGCGGCGGTGCACCACGTACGTATATTACCCGCTCCACCGCGACCAAAGGACCGTCGCCGATTGCTATCGATATCACGTCCGTCCATGGTGAGCTCTTGTCCTCATCTTCAAGTTGTGGAGTGGATGGACGGTGCCAAGAAAATGCCCAGACAAACCGAGCGGCAAGGCTAGACTTTTTGGGCAGAGAGAGAAGAGGAAACAGAAGACGCCAGTGCCCTCGCCCGGTCGAGAAACGGGGTCCTCCCCTTCTCAAGAAGGAGGCACAAGCACCCGCTTGCTTTCCCGGGGGGGGCGGGGGGGGGCGACGCGCTCTGGGCCGTACGTCATCGGGATCTTCACAGCATTCCCTGTCCCAGATAAGACATGCCCCCATAATTGGGCCGGTCTCCCCCACGCCCGGGCACCCGGCATCCTACCATCCCCCCCCGGCGAAGGCCCTCTCTGGCCACCCCGCAAAGTTTGGTATTCAGGTCCAGCGGCTGGAGCCAACTGCCGTTCCGAGACAGGCGATAGGGAGAGCGAGAGCCAGGGGAGTAGCCAGTCGCTCGCCGACCCGTCATCTCTCTGTGTCAATCACTTGGTCCCCTCTTCAGACAACAGCATGGGGGTTTCCGAGACGTGAAGAATTGCCAATCATGTTCATCAGACTAATTACGGACTAGAGTGCACACCTAGGCTTGCTTACACTCTCGACGGACCTGCCCGCTAGCGGAGATGCAGCTGCGCGAAACCTGCAAAGCTCGCAGTCAAACTAGAACACTCTCCACCCGCCGTAGTAGCCAAACCAACAGCCACCTAAAGTAACCTGAACGGCGAAGAAGAAAATATCGAATCCCCCATCCGGTGGGGGAACTATTGCATTGGCGCATGAACCCCCGAACACCTCTCAAATAACCCAATCACGTTCGTATCTCGTCAGCCCGCCGCGAAATGAAAGCTTCTCGAGCGCCGATGTACATGTATGCCTCTGCGGCTACCGTGACTCTCTCTTACCCACCGAACGCCAGCTCGTGAGAAAACCATGCAGAGCCGTCCCGAACTGCAGAGGGAATTTTTAAGAACCAAAAAAAAAGAAAACAATAAAAGTTTAAGAACACAAAACAAAAGTGAATCATCTTAAGCCGACCCATAGTAACACGAGAACACGGGCCCCAGGTCTCGCGTCGGCACATCGGCGCAAATGACCGTCGGCGCCAGCGCCTTCGCGTGGTGGTCGCCGTCCACAGATCCCAGCGCGCTGTCCGTGGGGCTCATGGGCATGACCTGCCTCAAACGCTCCTCGACGAGCCTGTCGAGGGCGCGCCGTTCAAACGCACCCACGTCGTCGAACGAGTCGGACTCCTCCTCGTCGAGGACGCCAGCGAGGCGCCTGTGACCCGCGAAGCGCAGCGGGGTCCTGCGCGCCTTGATCTTGCGGACAAAGTCTCGCCTGCGCTCGTGGTATCGCGCGGCACGAGCGCTCCAGAAGTCTTTGGCCATCTCGCCGAGCTCCTGTGCGCGCGCCGCGGCGTGGCCCGCCGGCGAGACGTCGACGTTGCTCTTCCACTTGCCTGGTGTGTAGGCGTTGCTGCCGCACACCATGGCCTTGACATGGTTTCGAACCCTGGCGTCGAGGACCTTGCCAGAGCCGGGCAGGCTGTGATCGATCAAGCCCATAGCTCGCGCGTCGTAGGCCGAAAGTGGCGTCATGTCGCGCAGCAGCCTCCTCGCGCCATCGACGCCACATCGTCCAGTGTACGAGAGAGAGTGATATTCTGACCCGTGAAGACCCAGCGCACGATAGGCCGGGTTCAGTACTGTTTCCGAGCCAGCAATCACGACGTCGCAAGCGGCCGCCAGAGCCACGCCGCCAGCGGCGCAATTCCCTCGAATCGCTGCAACAGTCTTGATGTTTCGCCTGGGGAAGTCGTCGAGCAGGCACTGCACCACGTCGTCGATACGGTTGATGTTCCGCCATGATTCCTGGCCAGGGTCGGCGCTCGCCTCAATGACGTTGAGCGCGATGCCGTTGCTGAAGTAGGAGTTGCCGCCCATCAGCACCACGGCGCTCAGGGGCCGCTCGACAAGGTGTGTACGCGCGACGAATTCGAGGGCCTCGACGAGGCGGTCGCATTGGCTCGTGCTCATGGCGCCGTTGTAAAACTCAAAGTAGACGAACGCCACGCGTCGGGCGCCCGGCATGGACGTAAAGTCGACCCAGATCTCCTGATGCGTAGACGCCGCAGCCTTAGACCAGTCGACAGTGGCACGCGGTACTTGGGTGCGGCTGAAGGTGGCATCGTCTAGGAGGCCGAGCTCGCGGAGTCCCGACACGGCGGGCACCTTGGGCCACAGCATTGCGTCGACCTTTCGCTTGGTGCGCCGGATGTGCGAGATCCAGATGCCCTTGCCGTCACACGTCGCGACGCAAATGGCCTCATCTCGGCAGGCGATGATGGTGCCCGCTTGGGGTTGTCCCTCGAGCAGGTCACCTGCTTCCTCAACGGTGCCGCCGTAGACGAATAGGTTGCTTCCAAACAGCCCAGTGAGACAGCCGGGTTGAGAGTCAGCGGACCGGATTCTGCGTGAGATATCGCGCGCTGTGTGTTTCGTCATGTCGAAGTCGCGCTGGGACGCTTTGAGAAGTGGTCGATGTCGCGTCACACCGCCGAGGAAAGACTGCTGCAGTGTGACCGAAAGTTGCCGGTACACGGGATCGGCTTGGATGCGGGGCGAGATGGCGCTGGCGCGGACCAACGGACTCGACTTCTCACGTCCTGGCGATGGTGGAGGCGTGAGGACGTTGGTGTGACGAGAGGCTGCGGTTGAGATGCGCTCGAGGGCTGCCAGAGTGGCGGTGAGGGCTGCTCGTGTCACAGGCCCGCGATAGAGGTTAGATTTGGTGGCGTCCGGGGCATCGATATCGATGGGGAACTGCTCAAAGGCCCAGACGGGGCCGGCGTCGAACTCCTCTACAGCCTGGAGGACGGTGACACCCCAGTGGGAGCGCCCCGGCCGTGCAGGCGCCGAAGACTGGAGGAGATAATCGACTGATGTCTCGGAACCGTCGTCGCCCATGAGCACCCAGTCGAGGGCGCTAGGGCCGGCATCACCTGGCGGGCCGGGATGGACGATGAGTGTGAGGTAGTTGAGGTAAATCTCGTTGGGCACCCGGGATGTAAGGAACGGGCAGATGATGAGGTCGGGCTGGGCCAAAGCGACAGCCTCGACCATGGCTTGGTCGGAGAGAGCATACTCGATGGTGACAGAGTGTGTCTTGGCCAGGGCCAGGTAGAGGCGTTGTGACAACGAGTTGTGCGCCGTGCAGAGGAAGAGAATGTTCATCTTGGCGGCGGAACGAGGTAGCTGCTGGGGGTGGCAGAAGGCTCGCCTCCAAGCTTCGGGCATTGTGGAAAGCCTCTCGTCATATAGAAGAGCGCGGCTATGTGTTGTACTGAGTGCCATGGTAAGGTTCAGCTTCACAGACACTGAAGGGGGGTATGGTATCATTGGTGTGTCTAAGAGCGAGACCCTAAGGAGCGTACTGTATCGCTAGTCTGGACGTGGCGCGACCGGCAGCTTAAGAAGCAAGCAAGAATGTGCCTGACATGATCCAGCCGGTTGCCTCAAGATGCGCTTGACATGAGTTCGACACATCTCTTTGCGCACGGGCTGGACTGCAACAGACGGCCCATTGAGGAACAGCTAGGCGCGTGAAGTGATGGTGAGTGAGCACCATGGCGCGAACGCTTTGACGCGCAACTAATCCGCTCCAAGACCAGATGAACGCTGCCATCTCAGTTGTGGATTGCGCTACGCCAATCAAGCCCTGTTATGCTTCTTCTGGTGCTTCCAAATAGAGGAGCCGCCGTACTCGGGCCACGGGGTTATCGCGGATGAAGAATGGAGCTCCTTGTTGCGCGAGTGTGCACTTGTGCGCGCGTCGATGCGGAACTCGGACATCGGGACATGTGGTTGAGGTGGAATGAGGGAAACCCGGCCTAGACGTCTACTTTCGGTGGAATAGTGTGACAGAGATGGTTGCTGGTTGCCACGACTAACAAATAGACTGCGGAGAAAGAGATAGAGAGCGCGCTGACTGGATCGTCAGGGGGGGGGGTTGTTTCGAGCGAATATTTCGTCTAGTCCTGTTAGGGCGCAAGGCGACACGTCCAGCTGGTATCTCATTGGCGTTAGTCCCGTCCCTGACTGCTATTCGGCCTCTTTCTCTCAGGGCGAATGGTCGTTGGTCTGGGTACCTTGAGATGGCCGGAGGGCTGGTTCGTTGGTCCCTGGACCGGTGGTTGTGGCCGGACCATTTCTGGCCAGGCACCGCGATTCAGCTTTGTCAAAGAATCACACCTGGGCTGACATACTAGCTCGGACGGGGACGTTGACCTCAGCAGATCCCGGACCTCCTGTGATGGCCCGCGAGTGCGTCGATCATCCGACTCGGCAGGTTGAAAATGCCACAGGCCCACGTGTGCGAGCGGGAGCTGGACGGCCCAGAGAGGAAAAGTCGCGAAACTTGGGCGTCTGAGGCGTTCTTCCACATCCATTTTTTTCGTCGCTCGTCGCCTGTCTCGTGCCTACCCACGGACCACCGGATCGCTGTCATCAGTCCTCTTCCGGCCGGTGCATTCAGCCCTCCAGAGAGGAGGTCCATGCCGCCGCCCACCATGGTTTGCTGTGGTATGAAGGCGCCCCTCAAACGCCGAAGGCCTCCCTGACACCCTCTCCTTCGTCAGGGGTCACGACGAATTCACATAGTTCGCGCGCCAATTCGGCCGTCTCCTCGTCGATGCCCGCCTCATACACCAAGTCTTCCTCTGCGAAATGAATGCGTGACAGCGAGAGGATGTACCGCTGCGGCCCTCCATATGCCATGGCCAGCTTGGATTGAATGTTGGCCGCGTCTGCTGTCGCCGGATCAGCGACGAGCCGGTGCAGGAGTAGTACGATCTGCTTGATCAGTCGGTGCAGACCCCCAAGGTCGTCGTCCGCGTCGTCCGCGTTGTCGGCCCCCAGATCTCCCGCCGGTGCATGGGCTGCCGCACGGTTCCCGCCGCTGCCAGCCGGAGTCTCAGTGACAACAGGATCACTGGCATCGTACAGCTCGTCCACTAAACCACTCAGAGTCGTCACTAGTCTGGGTATGGCATTAACATGATTCGCAACCTGGAGCGCCCCAAACTGAGACTGAGTGAACGCGGTGAGCGTGCGCAGGACCCCCGATCCGACCGTGTGAATCAGACGGGGCGTTGATGCCGTTCGTGGCAGGTCAAGCAGGTTGCATGTGAGCTTCTCGATGATCATGTAGGCGACCGTCTCCGGGTCTTTGCCCATTTCTAGAGGGCCGACCGAGGCAGATAGCACGGAGGTGCACAATAGGTCCATCATGCCCAGGATGTCGTCAAGCCGCTGATTTGGGGTCAAGAAGATCAGCACAAAGTCCACGGGCATCATGCTCCAAAAGTTGGCCTGCTGCGTCTGAGCGCCCTCTTCCGTCTGAACGATTGCGCTCACGCTTGCCATGGCTGCCAGATGGAGGAGTGACAAGATGTGCGTCGTGTCGATCTGCTGCTGCAGCGAGTCAGCAGCGGGGTCACCGGAAAGATCACCGTCTGTGCTCTTGTAGCGCAGTTCGAGCACCATGTACATGGACCTCTCTGCGGCTGGCACCAGGCTGTGGATGAGGTTGGGTGCCACTGACACAGTCTGGAGTTGAAGTGTAAACGCCAGAAGCGACACCAGGTCCCAGATCGGTCGATAATACGCCTCGTCCAGGCACTGGTGCCACATTGTCAGAATGAGGTGAGAAAAGTCGATAAGGAGCTGCAGGGGATCATGCACGTTCCCCATTCGCGGCAAGCTCTGATAAATCTGGGCGGCAAACGAGGTGTCTGGGTCTGATGGAAAGGCATAGCGCGAGAGAATATCGAATGTTGGAGGCTCCCCGTGCAGAGACCCATGGTCGAGAACGAGCTGAAGGAACTGGGCCGGGGTTAGCAGTTGACACCGTGGCGACGATGGGCCGACTCACATCGAATGGGAGGGTATTCGCGGACGATACCGCAAATAATTTCGGGGCCGTGGCACCTGCATCAGCATTCGACTGTACGAGGTCGCCTTCGTGGGTTTCCAACGCCATGACGGGACTGTCCACCACAGGCCGTTTCCGCTTGTTCTTTGTTGGTGTCCGTTCGGTGAGTGGGATGGCCACGGGGCCGGCGTCCCTCAACTTGCCTCGTCCCTTGCTGGGGCTGAGAACAATGTCCATCTCGTCAAAGCCGTCGGCCATGCCCCAGGTCTTGCTGGTCTTCTTCGGCGTGTTCGTGGCAGAGCCGCCGCTGTCGTTCCTCTGCACGCCGGGCGCCGCATTCGCTCGCCTCGCTCGAGCACTGGTTTCCTTGACATCTCGCTGAAGAAATTGCAATTCAGTAGCGGCATTGTTCTGAGCAGCGACGGCTTGCTCGACCAGCCTCTGCTGCTTTGCCTCCTGTTCAGCGTTTTGTTTCTTTAGCCTGGCCACCTCTGTGGTGTATTCCTGCTGCGCCTTGGACGAGTTTGCCCTGATGATGGCGACTTCTCCCTTGGCCGAGTAGAGTTCTGATTCGAGAGCCTTCAGACGTTGCTGCATAGCAGCAACAACATCGTTTCCCGACTCCCGCGGCGCCTGAGAAGCCAGCGGCTGCTGATAGGCCGGCCTGACTGTCGGCAGCGCAGGACGAGCAAACTGGCTGTGTTGTGGTCTGTATGATGCGCCTATGGGAGGTGGTATCTGTGAGGCCAGGGGCTGGCCGTGCGTCGTGTTGACAACGGTGTATCTTGACTTCGCGGAGATGTCCCATCGTGACGATGGCGGGATCGGGGCCGCCGGGGGTCGGTTCGCTACTGGCAAGGGTGGTTTTTGATGGTAAGGTCTCGGTCCCGTGTTCGTCGATGTACCGACGGGGGCTTGCGGAAGCAGGCCATCGATCAATTCGGTATCATCAAGGTCGTCGTCCTCGAATTCGAGGTCATTGTAGGGGTTGTCGGCAGGTTGCTGTGTCCGTGGCGGGGCCTGGGTCTGGGCCTGAGTGAACTGTATGGCATTGTTCTCCAGCTCCTGAAGAGCATTGGGGTTGAGGTCGTCAAAGCCATCGTCGGAGTAATTATCCATCGCCAGTAGCTACGATTGACGACTATGGCGCCATCAGGGAGATAGGGTTGGGGACGTAGCCTGGTTCTCCAATACCGAGTGGCCAAGGATGTTTTTTGACGAGGCCATCTCGAGTACAGCCTTATCGCTTATCAGGCGATCCCAGCTCGCGTTGCAACGCGACTTGGCGTGTGCTTGTAGAGTGCCTTGGTTAGGTGCCTACCTTAGGTACCTACCTACCTACGTGAGGTATGCTTATCTAATAGAACACATCAGTAATCAGGCCCTGCGGGCTCTGACGTAACCAAGAGGCAGCCCAAAGACCAGGCCGGGTTCTGCAAGCGAAATGGTGGGTAGGCACGGGCTTTCTGGCGTGGCTGCCACAAAAAACCAATTGCTGACGGCTGATTCAAGGAGCAGGAGCCAGGAGCAAGGCGCAAAATGCCAAGCGGCCCCCCTACGTAAGGGACCTAGCTGGTAGAACTGGGCCAGCACTCAGCGTCCAGCATACAGCCCTTGGGGTAGTAGTAGTAGGTAAGCGCAGAACCAAGTCCCCCGACACTTCCTTTCCCCGAAACCAGCGACCTTGCTTTACCTCACCTTGCCAATCTTACCTCCTCACACCCATCCATCACGGCGACCCAACTGACGACTCTGCTCGTCCGTCGCCCCCACGATTCGCAGCGCTTTCCGCACCTGCATCGCCCGACGCCATCTTCACTGTACCTGAAATTTTAGGTCTCGGTCTCGTCGACTTTGCGCGCCTACCCGATCCGGCCAACCCGAGCGCGCACGCACTGGACGAGCTGCCCCCAAACGAACCGGGCCAGAGCAGCCTCTTCGTCCGCAGCGACAGTTCCTCATCCCGCGTTGTTGAAGACCACCTGTTGAGAAAAATCTGGGTCGAACGGTTGCCGCCAGACCAAAAACCGTCACCGATTCGCGAATCATTCCGCACGATGCCGCGCGGGAAGAGAGGGGTCAAGTTCCCCCACAAGGCCAACAACGGCAACGCCGATGGCCGTCGCTCCAGCTTTAGCGACTACAGCGAGGATGGCTCTCCTATCAGGCAGAGGTCGGGATCTGGGCAGCAGGCGCCGCTAGACGGCATCGCGGAGGTACGTCGACGCAAATCCTTGGGCAGGGCATCGACACGTGCTCATCCGCCTGCTTCGAACTCGTAGTCTTGAGATGACTATTTTTTTTTTGCTGATTCTAACACCCCTGTGCACAGCAGCCACAGTTGTCGCCCGCCGAGGCTGCCGCCGAGGAGAAGCGCGTCGCCCACGAGAAGAGGAAGACGGACTTCAAGGTCCGCACCTTTTGGACTTTTGTCATGTTCGCTGGCTTCTTCGCCGCCCTCTTTTCCGGCCACATGTACATCATTTGCGTCATGACGGTCATTCAGGTTGTCTGCTTCAAGGAGGTCATTGCCATCGCGAGCGTCCCCAGCCGGGCTCGTCAGCTGCGCCCCTCCAAGAGCCTCAACTGGTACTGGCTCGTCACCACCATGTACTTCCTCTACGGCGAATCTGTCATCTACTACTTCAAGCACATTGTGCTGGTCGATAAGGTCCTCCTGCCGCTGGCCACCCACCACCGCTTCATCAGCTTCTTCCTCTACATCTTCGGATTCGTCTTCTTTGTCACTACCCTGCACGCAGGCCACTTCAAGTTCCAGTTCACCCAGTTTGCCTGGACGCACATGGCGCTGTACCTTATCGTGGTCCAGGCACACTTCGTCATGAACAACGTTTTTGAGGGCCTCATCTGGTTTTTCCTACCCGCGGCCCTCGTCATCACCAACGACATCTTCGCCTACATTGTGGGCATGACCTTTGGACGTACCCAGCTGATCAAGCTGTCGCCCAAGAAGACAGTTGAGGGCTTCGTTGGCGCCTGGGTCTTCACCATTGTCTTTGGCATCATCCTGGCCAACATCTTGACGCGCTCCAGCTACTTCATCTGCCCTGCCCACGTGAGTTGACCTGGTTTAACCAAGCGCGCAAGAAAATGCTAATGTGTAACAGGACCTCGCCTCGAGAA